CAGATGCTATATCTTTTGATAGCCGGGCACCATCAGCTTTCGTCACTACATTTGCTTATGCACCCATTTGTATTGACTAGACTTTTGTTGTGAATTTTTGCATCTATCTTCATGAGAGATGGTCTATAATTTTATTTTTTGGTCATAGGGTTATGCTTACTGCATAAGATGAACTTGGGAGTAACCCGTCCTTTTCAATATTTTGGAATAGTTTGAGTAGAGTTGGTGTCAGCTCTTTTTTGAATGTTTTGTAGAATGCCCAAGAGAAGGCATCTGGGCTTGGATTTTATTTGTAGGAAGTTTTTAGTGACCTGGTCATTTCCTTTTTTCATGAGGATTCTATTTAGGTTTTCGACGTCGATGTGTGCTAGTTTGTTTAGATAGGTAGTACGTTTATAGAATTTTACCCATTTCTTCTAGTTTTTGTTTGTTGGGAGCACAATCCTTCATAAAACCAAAATCAAAACTAACTGCCAACTCATGGCAACCCCCACCGGGTTTCCAAAAATAGTATCTGTTTACAGAAGTAGAAAGTCCAATATTTTTCCCAGGAGCTGCTGCTGGTTTCAAACTGCTGACTATGCATATCACAGCCCAATTCTTAACTACTACGCTACCAGGGCTCCTTGTATATAAAATAAGATGCTCAATATCACATGGAAATAATGATAGCATCTGATAGATTAGATTAATAGGCATCAGTTAAGGTTAATGTTAGTGTTGCAAGCTGTTTTGACATTTCCTGTTTGTGACATCTGGAGACCACAGTGTAATGAATCTGTGAGCATACACTTAACCCAGTATGACAGAACAATTCCAGACTTAATCCTTAGTCCATTGGTTGTGAGAATATTTGGGACTCAATGGCAGTGAGCTTCGTTTTGGTGTTTAGGCTAAGTTATTGGCTCAGTTTCACATATAATTGTGGTGACTCAGGAATGTTTGGTTAACAAATCATCCTCATAATTCTCATACACACTTAGAAAGAGCCGTGGATTTATCCTGCAGAGTACCCTTAAAGTGAGCAAATATAAATGTACGTGTCTTTGATGGCAAAGAGGAAGGCAGACCCTCAACAAAGCGATTGACACTGGCTGCAGCAGCGGGCTCTCACATGTGACAGTGCGTGTGCGGGCGTGCGCTGTTTGTTTTGTTCTGCTAGCCCTAGGGGTTGCTATGAGTTAAACTGGACTTGCCACCACATAACAGCAGCAACAGACTGCCAAACCTTGAGCCATAGCGGTGTAGTGGGTTACTCGTTAGACTGTTAACCTAGCAGTTCAAAACTACCAGCCAGTGCTTTGGAGAAAGATGAGGCTTTCTGTTTATTCCTTGAAAGATTTACAGTCTTGGAAACTCGCAGGGCCAGTTCTGCTCTGTCTTGCAGGGTTGCTATAAGACAGAATTGACTCACTGGCTGTGGGTTTTTTAAGGTGACGTGTTTGATGGAGTAGTATTAGGAAAATAATTTCTTAGATACAATAATACATTCATACGTTGGAAAACACGGTGTTTTTTTTAAAAGGAATGCCGTTCAGGAGGATGAATGAACAAAAATTAACCTAACTAAACACCGTGATTATGTTTTTAGGGTAAATATATATTTGTGTATGCATATAAGCTGTAGAAGAATATACAAACATAAGTCATATGATCACTATCATAACTTTAATTTTATATATATTATTAATAATTTTCTTGGGGGCTCTTATAGATATTATAACAACGCATCATTCAATTGTGTTAAGCACATTTGTACATATGTTGCCATCGATGTTTCCAAAACATTTTCTTTCTACTTGAGCTCTTGGTATCAGCTCCTCTTTGTTCCCCTTCAGCCCCCACCCTTGTGAATCCTTGATCAAGTATAAATTATTGTTATTTCATGTCTTACACTGTCCGTTGTCTCCTTTCACCCCCATTTATGTTATTCGTCCCCTTGGGGGTGGGCGGGCTATATATCCAACCTTGTGATGGATTCCCCCTGTCTCCTCCTTCACGCCCCCCCTCCCCCAATCCCTCTACCCTCATGATATTGCCACTCCCACTACTGTTCCTAAGGGTTTTATCTGTCCTGAATTCCCTTTGTCGGAGAGCTCTTATCTGTGCCGGTATGTATACTCTGGTCTATCCAGATTTGTAAGGAAGAACTGGGTCATGGTGGATGGGATGGGGGAAGCTAAGAGCAGTGGTTCTCAACCTTCCTAATGCCGCCACCCTTTAATACAGTGCCTCATGTTGTGGTGAGCCCCCAACCATGAAATTATTTTCGTTGCTACTTCATAATTCTAATTTTACTACTGTTATGAATCGGGCGACCCCTGTGAAAGGGTTGTTCAACCCCCAAAGGGGTCACAACCCACAGGTTGAGAGCTGCTGAACTAGAGGAATGATGTTTCTTCAAAGCTGTAGTGCACCTTGGTTGAATTGTCCCTTCCTTGTAACCCTTCTGTGGGGGGCGAAGTCCAATTGTCTACAAATGGGCTATGGGTCTCCACTCCACCCCCACCCCACCCCCTATTTCACATCAATATAATTGTTTGTTTGGGATCTTTTGATACCTGACATTTGATTCTGTCGACACGTCATGATCACGCAGGCTGGTGTGCTTCCATGTGGCCTTATTTACTTCCCTGATAGATGGCTGCTTGTTTAACTTCAAGTCTTTAAGACCCTAGATGCTTTTGATAGCCAGACATCATCCACTTTCTTTCATCACATTTGTTTATGCACCCATTTTAACTTCTGTGATCGTGTTGGGAAGGTGAGTATCAAAAAATGCCAAGATGTTAGTACAAAGTGTTATTGTATTTAGGGAGGCCTTGAGTAGAGGCCAAAGTCCGTCTGCTATCTTAATACTTAACATAAATATATGTTCATTGGCCTCTATCCCTTTCATTATAAATCAATATGTTTACATACATACATGCCTATAGCTATACGTATCTCTATAAAGAGCTTTTGCCTCTTCTATTTCCTTTCACCTTCCTCCTGTCCTATTATCATATGTTCACCCTCCATTCGGCTCTCAGTAATTTCTCTTGAACACATTGCACTTGATCAAACCCCACCTTGTATTATATCCCCTCCTCACCACCAATTTTAGATCTCTTGTTGGTCCCTTATCCCTGAGTTTATTGGCTCCCCCGCTCCCCCTCCCTGCCCCCTCTCCCATGTCTCCCAGGAACGCCAGTCCTGTTGTTTTCTCCTCGGGATTGTTTGTCTTGCTTATCTATGTAGATAGACTTATGGCGAAAGAGGAAAAAGCCCAACAAAAACAATATATAGTACCAGGTCTGTCTGCTTATGAGTGTTTTCCAGTCGGGTATGATGAAGTGCCAAGCCCCACCCCGAGTCAGAAGTCTATTTTCAGGACTCCTCGGGGACTTGGGGACTTTGTTCCCCTTGCTGCCCTGTCGCACTCCCTTCACGCTTCACCTGGCTGTGCATTTAGCAGACTGGGCACGTTTTCCGCAGTGTCTCCAGTGCTGTCCCTGTAGCCATGGGTCAGTGAGGGAACGTTATGTCTCCTGGTGGGGCCTGCCCTAGGGTCCTCTCTGCATTTGCTCCCGAGAAGGGATGACGTCCCCAGGGCTTGGTGCGCCATGATGAGTCCCACTCTCTCTTTCCCTCTTAGTTTGCACCCGTGTGGTCTCCACTGACTGCCACTCTCAAGCAGTTGTTGTGGTCATGTTTTCAAGGGCAACGAACTGTGAACTTGTAAAAGTTGAATGTGATCACTGAAGTATATTTTGGCCCTGGGTTAGGTATAACTATTTCGATTAGTTTTGAAATGTTTGTCTAAGATGACATCTTAAACTGGGGCTCTCATGGGGAAGGCTTGTTTTGTGCTACAGTGTACCTAGCTTTTTCTAAGTCGTATATTTACAATATTAATGCTTTCCTTTTAAGAGCCCTCAACAACTAGTTCTGCTTCAAACTATCCAAATGTATTAACAAGGCCTTCTCTTCATCGGAGCCATCTGAATTTCTCCCTGCTGGACTCCTCTGCATTACACTGTCCACCATCCACCTCTTCAGCGTTCCCAGTCGGCAGTTCTGGGTTTTCTCTTGTAAAGGAAATTAAAGATTCTACCTCTCAGCATGATGATGATAACATCTCAACTACTAGTGGCTTTTCTTCGAGAGCTTCTGATAAAGGTATTCTTGGTATTTATAATAATAATTTTAGTAAAATTAAATTTCATAAAATGATTTTTTTCTCCCTTAGTTGTAATTTTTATGTTCTACTTAAAAATCGAGGGCTTTGTAATTAGTGCTATTCCTATGCATTATCTATTTTTGTTTTAGATATAGCTGTTTCAAAGAACACTTCAGTGCCACCTCTGTGGTCCCCAGAGGCCGAACGTTCTCATTCACTCTCACAGCACACTGCCACCAGCTCAAAAAAACCAGCATTCAACTTGTCTGCCTTTGGAGCTCTTTCCCCTGTGAGTATAAGTTATTGGACTCTTAATCACATTGGTTTTGAGTGTTTGCTGCTTAAAATTTATCACTGTGTTTCTATGCAGTCTCTTGGGAATTCTTCCATCCTTAAAACAAGTCAGCTTGGAGATTCTCCTTTTTATCCTGGAAAAACAACATATGGTGGGGCAGCAGCTGCTGCAAGACAGTCTAAACCACGGAATACACCTTACCAGGTTGGTTTTAATTAGGAAAATTGCTAACTTTTTTTTTTAGCATAGAGAAAGAATAAATAGATGTTGACATTCAAAATATAAAGATTTATTTCCTTGTTTTTCTGTTGATAATATAAAACTGGATTACAAATGACTATATTTAGGATGAACATTACAATAGACATAAGTGCACATTTTGTACATTAGATTTATGTCTCCATGTCTGTACATAAACATACCTGTGCTTTTGTCTTGGCTTAGTACGTGTATTGAGTATTTCCTTTTTCCTTTGTTTTTTTGTTGATGTGTAATTATATACAGTAAAACTTTTAGGATATTTCAATCTCTAAAATAGACAGTTGTAAACTCATCTCTGCAATCAAAATATTAAATGAGCATTTCCATTAATTACCCCAGGACATTTTCTTACGCATTCTAGTCTCTCTTGTCACTTTTACCCTCTGGAAACCACTGACAGTCTTGCTTTTTTCATAATGTCAGTTAAATGCAATATGTCTGTCTTAATATACTCAGTATAATGCATTTGACATCAGTCAAATCTATGTTTTTGTATGTCAATAATTAGTTCCTTTTTTGCCCAATAATACAGCTTTAACATTGTTTATTCATTCACCCGTGAAAGGACACTTTGGTGGTTTCTCATTTTTGGCAATTATACATCAAGCTTCTGTGAGCATTTTGTATGAGCATTAATTTTCATTTCTCTTGGATAAATGCCTGGGAGTTGGATTATGGGTCCTGTGGTAAGTATACATTAAACTTCATCATCAAATGCCAGCCATAGTTGCAGAGTGGCCAACCCTTCACTCACCCGTGATACTAACTCGTGATGTAAGAGGATCCAGTTAGTCTGCATCCTTACCAGCAGTTAGTGACTCACTGAATCTGTGTTTTATTGCATTTTCCTAATGAACAATCATGGGACATTTTTGTGTATTTATTTACTATCATTATATCTTTATTGGTGTTGTGTCTCTTCAAATCTTTTGCCTATTTTATTGAAAGATCATTTTATTGGGGGCTCTTATAAAAATCTATCCATCAATTATATCAAGCGTATTTGTACATATGTTGCCCTCATGTTCTAAACATTTACTTTCTATTGAGTCCCTTACCGTGTC